CCACTATTTCACTTTCTGTTTGTGAATTTGACTACTTTAAATACCTTTTACAAGTGGAAACATACAGGCTGTGTGTTTATTTATGCTTCTATGCTTATTTTGGCTCATGGTCTTCCTTGGAATGGTTTTTATTTCTTCTCTACATATCCAGATCCTTTTAGTTTTTATTTCCTAGGCCTGTTTCCTCCATGTCATCCAGCATGTATTCATTTCCTTGCTTTCTCCTTTTTTTAAAAATTGAAATGTAATTGACATAGAACTTTAATTTGAGGTGTGAACATAATGATATTTGTACACATTGCAAAATTATCTCAGTATGTCTAGTTAACATCCGTCACCACACAGTTACACAATTACACAATACTTACACAATTCATTCTTGGTAGGAGTATGTTCCTAGGAATTTACCCATTTCTTCTAGGTTGTCAAATTTGTAGTCTCTTATGAGCCTTTGTATTTCTGTGTTATCAGTTGTAATGTCTTTGCTTTCATTTATGATTATATTTATTTGAGTCATTTTTTTTTCTTTGTGAGTCCATTTAAACATTTGTCAGTTTTCTTTATCTTCTCAAAGCATCAGTTCTTAGGTTTATTGCTCTTTTGTCTTTTTAGTTTCTATTTTATTTCCATTCAGATCTTTATTTCCTTCCTTCTAAATTTGGTTTTCATTTTTTCTTTTTCTGTGTCCTTGAGGTGTAAATTTAGGTGGTTTGAGGTTTTGTTTCTTGATATAGGCATTTTCATTATGAACTTCTTGCTTAGAACTGCTTTTGCTGTGTTCCATAAGTTTTGGTATATTGTATTTCCATTTTCATTTGTCTCAAGGTATTTTTTTATTTCTCTTTTGATTTCTTCTTTGACCCATTGGTTGTTCAATACATGCTTCTTAATCTCCACATATTTATGAATTTAAAAATTTTCTTCTTGTAATTTCTATTTTCATACTATGTGGCCAAAAAATGCTTTATATAATTTTAATCTTAAATTCATTAAAACTTGTTTTGTGCTCTAACATATGTTATATCCTGGAGAATGTTCTATGTGCACTTGGGAAAAACGTGTATTCTGTTGCATTTGGATGACATGTTTTGTGTATATGTTGCATCCATCTGGTATAATGAGTTGTTTAAGGTCGACGTTTCCATATTGATTTTCTGTCTGGATGGTCCATTGATGAAATTGGAGTATTAAAGTTCCCTATTATTGTATTTTTGTTTATATCTCCCTTGATAGCTGTCAATATTTGCCTTATATATTTAGGTACTCTTGGGTGCATAAATATTTACAAATATCCTCCTGTTGGATTGACCCCTTTATCATTTGTCATGTCCTTGTCTCTTATTACAGTCTTTGTTTTAAAGTCTATTTTGAATGAAATAAGTACAGGTACCACCACTTTCTTTTGATTTCTGGTTGCATGGAATATCTTTTTCCATTCCTTTACTTTCAGTCTGTGTGTGTTCTTACATCTGAAGTGGTTATCTTGTAGGCAGCATATAGATAGATGGGCCTCGGCTTTTTTTCTTTTTTTACCTGTTTAACCTCTCTGGGTCTTTCTACTGGAGAATTTAGTCTTTTTACATTTAAAGTAATTATTGATAGGTATAGACATTGCCATTTTGTTAATTGTTTTTGGACTTTTTTTTGTAATTTCTCTGTACCTTTTCTTGCTCTCTTCCTTTGTGGTTTAATGATTTTCTTTATTGGTATATTTAGGTTTCTTTCTCTTTATCTTCTGTGTATTTATGATAGGTTTTTACTTTTTGGTTACCATGAGTCTTATAATAACTTATAACTGTCAATTTTAAGTTGATTTCTTTGATTTGCATGCATTCTAAAGCTCTACATTTTTACTCCTGCCCCACATTTTGTTTTTGATGTCTCATTTTACATTTTTTATCTTGTATGTTCCTTAACTAATGTAGTTATAGTTTTTGTTTTATCTTTTAACCTTCATAGTAGTTTTATAAATGATTAATCCTCCACCTTTAGTATGTAAATACCTTCAGATTTATACTTTCATATGTTTTTTTGTTCCTAAATTTCACTCTTCTTCCTTTTAGCTTAAAGAAATCCCTTTAACATTTCTTGTAAGGCTGGTTTAGTGATTATGAACTCCTTTAGCTTTTGCTTGTCTATAAAACTCTTTATCTTTCCTTTAATTCTGAATGGTAACTTTGGTGGATAAGAGTACTCATGATTGGTGGTATTTTCTTTCAGCACTTTTAAGTATATCGTGACATTCCTTCTGGCCTGCAAAGTTTCTGCTGAAAAATCTTAGTCTTATGGGGGTTTCTTTATATGTAACAAGTTGTTTTTCTTTTCTTGCTTTTAAAATTCTCTGCTTGTCTTGAACTTCTGACACTTTAAATATGGTGTGTTTTGGGTCTCTTTGGGTTCATCTGTTTTGGAACTTTCTAGACTTCTGGATCTAGATGTCTGTTTCCTTCTTCCTGGATCTAGATGTCTGTTAGAGAAGTTTTCAACCATTTTTTCTTCAAATAAGGTTTCCTCTCTTTTCTCTCTTTCTTCTCCTCTTGAGATCCCTATAATACAAATGTTTTTGCCTTCTTGATGTTCTCTCATAAGTCCTTAAGCTGCCTTCAGTTTTTTTTTCATTTTTTCTTTTTGCTGCTTTGATGGAGTATGTTCCACTGCCCTTTGTTTTAGTTCACTGATCCTTCTGCTTCATTCAGGCTATTGTCGAACCCCTCTATTATATTTTTCAGTGAAGTTGTTGTATTCTTCAGCTCTATGATTTGTTTGCTACTTTCTTATATTTTCTATCTATTGCAGTTCTCACAGTGTGCATCCATTTTTCTGAGTTTGGTGAGCATCTTTATTATTTTGAGCTCTTTGTTGGATACATCATTTATTTTCATTATCATTAAGGACTTTTTCCTGAGGTTTTTATCTTGTTTTTTTTGTTTGTTTGGAACTTATTTCTCTATTTCTTCATTTTGCTTGACTCTGTGTTGGTTTCTGTGCATTAAACAGCCACCTCTCCCTGAAATCAAGGTGTGGCCTCATTTAGATGAACCTTATCTTTTAACCTTGCCTCAGCTTTTGGTTGTCTCTCAAACCTTTAAGTATGGTCAAAGACTTAGTGTCTCAAGGGGAAGAATCTCAATTAAGGCTGATTGGAAGCCAGACCCTCAAGCAGCAGCTCTTAAAGTATGCAAATATATATTGGCCACTGGGAAGCAAGTGAAAGTCCCCACTGGCCATCAAAACCAAGCATCTTAAAGTGTTCTCTGGGCTCAAGTTGCAGTAATCAGGGTACCAGATGAGTGTATAAGCTCCTTTCTAGAAGATAACAGTGAATTGGAGCAAGGCAGAGAGAAAGGACAAAGATTATGTCCACCGGCTTCCGCTTCCTGGGAGCATCTCCATAGGTTACTAGATATGTGCCAAACCAGAAGCCTGCCCCTTAGGCAAAACTTCCTGGACAAGCAAGTAGGTCTTTTCCACAGAAAGGCTGGGAATGTGTTTCAGTCCACTGTTGTGCAGTGCCCTTGAGATGCTAGCCTACCAAGAGCTGTCTGTCCAATTGATACAGCCTGTTGGGACCTACAAATGCAAGTCCCCCAGCCAGCAGACACAGGTAGGCAAGGAGCATTCCCTGGGCAGCAGTGCAAAAACTGGGAAACTAGAGGTAAAAACTGGAGTGCTAGACATGTGTAAGAGCTCCAATGATATCGAGCCTGGCAGAGGGAGAACTCAAAAATGGAGCCCACCAGCTGGAGCAAGGCAGAGAGCAAAAAGACAGCACCTGCCAGCCTCAGTCCCTGGAGATTATTCTAGCAGACCTCTAGATGTGTATTAAATTAGATGCCTGACCCTTAGGCCAATGCCTTGAGTACATGAAGTGTGGGTGTTTCTTAATTGGCATCTTCTGCACTGGTCCTGGGGCAGGTGAGCCCAGGCACTCCAGTCCTTTAAGAACCTGTACCTAGTTTGCCATTCCTTGTGGATCTCATGGACCTAAGCCCCCCTTGGTTTTCAAAGCTAGATATTTTGGGGGCTCATCTCTCAGAAAAAGCTTGAAAAATTAGAGTGCACAATATGGGTTCAAATCCTTTGCTCTTCAGAGAGAAGCTTCAGGCTTTGAGTTCCCTCCTGAATGTGGATTGCTGCACCAGGGTTGGGATTTACGGTGAGATTGTGTTTCAGCCTCCTACTGCTTCAGTGTTGGTTTTTTTTCCTTGCTTGTCCCATATGTAGGAAGTCACTCAGCTATTCTTTAGGCTTTTTTCAGAGAAAATTGTACTCTGCATAGCTATAAATTTGGTATGTTGGTGGGAGTGGTTGAGTTCAGGATCTTCTATGTCATCATCTTGAACTGGAGAAAATCTATTTCTGTTTAATTAAAATATTTGTACTTTACATTTTAATATTTGATCATACTTGTTTTCTATTCTTTTTTTGTTTTGTCTGACAATATGTCTTAACTCCCTGATTAAACTGTCTCTTGTGAGCAGGTGGCATGATTTCATGCCTCTCAGTGATGAATATTTAGTGGGTGCTCAAAAATGTTTTTAATTGAATTAAATTTAAACTCTACTAAGCATCCATTAAATTTAATTCAAAAATAGGAATGATTTTTAGGTCTTTTCCAGATTAATATCAGATGTTTTCCCACTAAAACTAAACCCTTTATCTTATCCTTGGTTTGCCAAACTAAACCTTTTATCTGCTTTTAGAAAAGATTGAAATGTGAGTTACTCTTGAACTGATCCACTATGGTTGGTGGATAGGAATAAAATTGAGGAGCATTCACTTCATGGCATGCCTCTTAGAACATTTACATATAACTAATCTAGGAGTAATGTCATGTAATATCTAAGCCAAGTATGTTTCTTGTGTTTATATTTAAGATTTTTAAATACCCACTTTTAGTTGAATTTTATGTTTGGATTAAGATGGCTCTTGGTACTAGTGTACTTTTTTTGATGAAACCTATCCAAGTTTATATTATTTTTATTTTTTACCTCTCCCAGAGTGATGATTCCGACATTTGGGATGACACAGCATTGATAAAAGCTTACGATAAAGCCGTGGCTTCATTTAAGGTATGAAATACTTAATTCTTTTCCTTATTTCCTCATGTTATTCACTTGGGAGAAAAATTGATAACATTTATACAGTAAAGTATCCATATGATTCGGTTCTAATTTTGAAGATTAAAAGATAATATGGGTTAGTTAAATTAGATATCTTCCTTTAGAAGTTGGTAGGTAGCCTGTCTGTATGTCATCCCTTTGACAGAGGCAATTTGAGTTTTAAACATTTGTTGCTTTTAGTATGTTTACATTGCTTCGAACTCTGGAAGTCCTCTAATTCAGATAAGTGGACAAGTCTGAATTATAATTTTCAAACATTTAACCAGCCTTTATTGAAATGATAATAAATAGCAGTAGTGCAGTAATTAATACTTAAAGAGTGTTTACAACATTCTAGGCACTGTTTTAAGTGCTTGATCTTCCCCAAAGCCAGTAAGTTGGGTGTCAAGTCAAGTGTTCCTATTGGTAGGAAGATACAGTTCTTTTAGGGGGTGTATTCTGTTTTTGAGGCCCAAATAAGACATTTATACAGTTGTCCAACATTATCACTTTACCTACTGTCAGAGGTATTTAGTCTTATTGAGCACCACGTGTAAACTTTCAGTAGTCCAGACAGAGAGCATACACTCATACAGGACACCAAACATAGAGTCCACATCCTTCCCATAGCCATTCCTGTAGCTTGAGATAAAAAGATCAAACGTGTATACCATCTTTGAAGCTACATTTAGTAGACTAGAAGTACAGTAATTTAGGGTTACCAAGAGAGTTCTATAAAATGCAGATTAAAGTGGGGCTCAATGTGGGATGGGGTTGCTGATATCATAGGGGGAAGTAGTCCAAATAGAGGAAAAGAACTGATTTGAGGAAAAATTAGTTTACTTTTAGTTTTATTGAGTTTGAGGTAAACATGAAGATATGAAATTGGTAATTGGAAATGTTGAACTAAGGAGAAAAGTCAGAGCTGGATAATAGCTTTGGAAGTCTGTTTGTATAGAGATTATAATTGAAGTAATAGGAATAGATCATTATAATCAGGTAAAGAAGGATGGCCAAATTTTATTGGGAATGCCCAAGTTTAAGACATGATCAGAGAAGTAATAAAAGTATTGGGGCCCTACATCGTCATCCAAAACATCATGAGTATCAAGAAGAAATGATCAACAGAGTCTAATGTTACAGGAAGGTTGAGAGTGAGGAAGCTCGATTAAAGGGGTGTTTAGAACTGATAATCAGTTATATGATGCCTTTGGGGGCAGTTTCTGTAGCATGTGGGATGGTGAAAAGAGGCTATTGGAGTTGGAGGGACCTAGAGACCAGTTTATAATGAGTGAGTTATATTGTGACATTTTCTTTATCATTCTATAACATGTATATTTCTATTTATATTTCCACAGCATGCTCTGAAGAATGGTGACATTTCTGAAGCTTCAGATAAACCAAAAGGCACACCTAAAAGAAAACCTGCTAAGAAGAATAAAAGCCAAAAAAGGAATACCACAACTTCCTTGAAACAGGTTATTTTAAAACACAGATTTAACTTTAAAGAATTTCTTCATACTGTTTTTATTAAATAGTGTAAAATATCTTTAACTTAAATGATTAGTAGTGTTTTCCATTGACATGTAATAATAAAATTTCTAAAACAACTATTAAACTTCCTATTGTTTAGGAACATGCATGTAAATAAAAGTATAAAGGATTGGGTAGGAATGATAAATACCAAATTCAGGACAGTGTTTACCTTATGTGGGAGGGAGGGGGAAGAAGGCAGTTTTATTTGGGACGAGTACCTGAAGGCCTTAAACTGAATTGGCAGTGTTTTATTCTTAAACTGATAGATGGGTATTCTTTTTGTCCTCCAAAAGCCCTGAAACCATTAATACCCAGAAACCAAAAATTCTAGGCAGAGTCATTTCTGCTATTTAAAACAGACTTAGAATCTAAGTATTTTGGCGTCTCATTAGTCTCTTTAGTTTCATCATTTCCAGTGGAGAAGAGAGCTAATATTTGTTAAGCATTTGCTATGTGCCAAGCCAGGATGCTGGACACTTACACGCATTCCCTTTTTTCTATTCCTCATGACACATCAGTGAGGTAGATTATGTTACATATTATGTCCACTTAATAGAAATAAAGAGATTAAGAAACTTGTCCACAATTATAAAAATGGCAGAAGTTATATACACAATTATATAAATAACAGAATTATATTTATGTTGGAATTCAAATTTATGTATTTTTGGCTGCAAGTCTTTTCCACTGTTTTATTATGCTTTCTATATCAGTTAACTGGAGACTATCCTTTCCACTCCCACCCTACCCCACCCCACCTAAACAAGATTATAGTTTACCCTCTTTATAGGTGTGTGTGTGTCTTTCGTTTTGTTTTTTTATAGTGGAAAGTTGGTGACAAATGTTCTGCCATTTGGTCAGAAGACGGCTGTGTTTACCCAGCTACCATTGCTTCAGTTGATTTTAAGAGAGAAACTTGTGTTGTAGTTTACACTGGATATGGAAATAGAGAGGAGCAAAATCTATCTGATCTACTTTCCCCAGCATCTGAAGTAGCTAATGATACAGAACAGAATGCTCAAGAGGTAAGGATACCAAAAATATAGAATTCTTGAGAGACTAAATGAGAAACAGTATAACTAGCTGTCAGTTTGATCCACTAAGGGATTACATTTTTCTTAATGATACCCATATAACAAAAATGCATGTATTTTTTTCTTTTTAAAGAATGAAAATGAAAGTCAAATTTCAACAGATGAAAGTGAGACCTCCTCTAGGTCTCCTGGAAATAAACCGAATAACATCAAGTCAAAAGCGGCTCCATGGAACTCTTTTCTCCCTCCACCTCCCCCTATGCCAGGATCAGGACTGGGACCAGGAAAGGTAACTTCTGCACAGAAAAAGTTTACCAGGGTGTAGTTAATATTGGAAAATTCAACCCCTCCATTAAGAGAATTGTAGCTTTTCCATGAAACTTTTGTAGCTTTCTGTAAATTTTGTAAATACATAATTGAGAATTCTTTGAAAAGGAAATAAGATAGTAATGCAGAATAGTATATAATGAAAGGCTTTTCCAACTACTTTTAGGGAGTATTAAACTAATGTAGTGAACTTAAGTTAGTATATTTTATTAACTGACTGTTGTACTATAGTTCCCCAAGTCACTTGTATAAGATATAAAAATTGGAAGAGAATATAGTTTTTACATTTAATACATCTAATACAGATAAAATCCTAAGGAGCTCCCAGATTGTTTTAGAATAAAATGCAAATATTATTTTCACTTATGATTCTTTTGGTTATAAGTAATAAATCAAGTTTAAAAAGATTTATATTTTAGATTTTATCATGGAACCCAAGTAAATATATCCCTGTCTAGTTGTTTTATATAAAGTAATGGTATCTTTACTGGAGGTTATGGTATTCAGTCAATAATAATTTTAAAACTCAAAAAAATCAAGCATGACATTAAAATTTGTTATCTGTGAGATCATTCTTGAGGTTTACATTATATTACAGTTTATAGAATGATCAAATCTCTTAATTTATACATATATAGATAGATATGTAGATATATATAGAGAGATACCATGTTTTGTTGATCTCAGGGGGCTGATTTTTCTTGAGTGAGAGGTTTACTAATTTTTACAATACACACTCTAAGTTAGCCTATGTAACTAACAAAAGGCTGTCCGTAAAAATATTATACAAAAAGATGCGCAACATCACTAATTATCAGAGAAATGCAAATTAAAACTATAATGAGATATCACCTTACATCATCAGTAAATCAAAAAATAAGTGTTGCTGAGGATGTAGAAAATGGTACCTTGTCCACTGGTGGTGGGATTGCAAATTGGTACAGCCCCTGTGGAAAACAGTTTGGAGGTTCCTCAAAAAATTGAGGGGTTGGGTGGCTGGGTGAAAATTGTGAAGGAAGTAAAAAGTACAAATTGGTAGGTATAAAATAGTCACAGGCAAGAGTACAGGGATGTACAGCGTAGGAAATATAGACAATAAAATGTTGTAATAACTATGTATAGTGTCAGGTGGGTACTAGACTGATCTGGGGGGATGCTTTGTATATTATAGAAATGTCTAACCACTGTGCTGTACACTTGAAACTAATATAAAATAGTATTGAGTGTCAACTCTAATTGAAAAATAAAAGTTATACAACGTAGTTAATGATTGAAGTATATTGCTAAGTACACTCTCTTGGTTTATTAGGTAATTAAAAATCTTTTGTTTTACTTCTTGAATGTTCATAGAAAGGAAATGAGAAAAATCAAGATTTATTAGTCTATTTGACCTCAGCATTTGGTACATGCAACTCTATTTAATCTTTCTAATATATTAATATAGATATTCTGGGCAGTTATTTTAATTCTTTTGGCATTTAATCTTTTTTCATCCTTTTATATTAAAATGGGTAAATTAATCTTCCTTTGAAATACTTTTTACAGCCAGGTCTAAAATTCAGTGGCCCACCACCACCACCACCACCACCACACTTCCTGTCGTGCTGGCTGCCTCCATTTCCTTCTGGACCACCAGTAAGTGCAAAAGAATTTAGATTAAACATTGCTTTCATACATAGTATGGTAATTAGGAAATGTCATTTTAGACCATCCCTTGGGCCAGGTTCTAATGGGTAAAAATTTGAACTAAGCCTTGGGTTTTTTTTTTTAATGCTCTTCTGCTACCCAGACTCATTCCTCTTATAACCCCACCTCTTACCCCCTGCTTCTTTCTTGGCAAAGTTGCATGTCATTCTATAGGCAAGTAGCTCCTACTTGAAAGGATTTAATTATATTGCACATAAGGATTTATGTTTTGCCCTTCTAGATATGCTTAGATGTTAGCTTCTGACAATGTAGACTATCTGGATATCTAATGGTAGACTTTTAGATAACAGCAGTGGGCTAGGTACAAAGACACTTTTTGGCCAACTGTGTGTGTTGGGGTGGGAGCAGTTCAAATATTCTACCTAAAACCTTTTTCTAAAATGCCGTGTGGGTATTTTTTGAGGAAAACTATCAAAGTATTCATGCTTGGTCTTTTACCCATACCTTCATAATGGAACAGAAAAATAGTTCTAATCAAAGCAAAATGTTCAAACATTTTACATGACTTAGTTTGGACTCTAATTTTGTTGGTCTTGTGTTGTTACTGGTTGGCTTTCTCCAAATGTGAGATTTAAAAAACAAAAATTTAGAAACTAAGCATGGTCAGGCCTGGTTAGTACTTGGATGGGAGACCACCTAGGAATACCAGGTGCTGTAGGCTTTAAAAAATATTTTTTAAAAATTTAAAAAAATAAAAGTTTGAATAGATGA